ATTGAAAGTCGGGGAAGCTGGCAGGAAAAGTGTCCCACGCTGTGCTACCTGCCCCAGGTAACATTCCAGGGAAACTTAGAAGACTCTGAAAAAAAAAAAAATCATCCAATTATTATTTTCTTCAACAGAGAAAATAGAACTGAGCTGAGAACCAAAGCATTTTAATGAAAGCTTCAGGAATGCAAACCAAAATCTGCTTCAGGAATATTCTGAGGCATGAGGGGAAATACCTCTCTCTGAAGGCAGGAGTCCTAAAAGCTGAAGTTTATTTTAAAAAACTTTTTTTTTTTTGTCCTGGAAAAAAAAATTGAGCTGAAGGCCATTCTGCCTCCTAAAAAATGTAGGTTTAAATTGCCAAGCCAAACTTTTGTGTTCCTGCGTGGCTGTTGGCAAAGAAAGGACAAATTTAAAGCAAAAAATGTCCATTTGTTGTACTGGTACAGTTTCATTTTTCCCTCCAAACTGAGGTAGCAGTTGAACCACGTTTATTTGTTGTACTTTCTAGGATGAGCTGTGTGTCCAAGCATCACATGGTCACTCCCTGAGTGCTGATGTTTGCTTTTGTGATTGCCTCCCCAGGCTCTCTTTGACATCTCCTTGGTGGTGAATCGCTGCAAAATCCTGGGAGAGGAGTTGGAATTTCTGCAGAGGTGGGGTGCAAAATTCCATCTCCTGGAGACAGATATCAAAGGCACAGAGTGAGTAAATTCAGATAATCATGATGGGATTGTTGGGGTGTCCTGTGCAGGGCCAGGAGCTGGACTTTGATGATCCATGTGGCTATCAGACAGCCTCTCCTTCCTTGCTGTTTTCCTGTTTGACTAGCTTTTCTTAAATATTTAGGCCAAATTGTAGACATGCAAAGGAAACAGAGCCAAGAGTTTACCTGTAGCTTAGGGCTTTGTTTCCTTTAATCTTGTGTTTTCCTCAGCCAAGCAGAATCAGTCGTGGAAGGAGGAAGGATGCAGTGAAACTGAAATTTACTTTCTTTACTTTCCATTTTCCTTTGCTACTTCCCAATTTTGTGGCATGTCCCAGTGGTACAACACAAATACAATTTTGCCTCATCCTTCCATTATTGATGCATCTCTTTAATTAAGAAGTGTCCAATTATTAACTTGCCCTGCCCACCTTGGTGCTGTTCCAGAGATTATTCTAATTTTGTAGCTCCCTTTGCAAGAGTGCCATAAACTCCATAGAACTGGAGGCAAATCAGTCCTAATTAAAGCATTAGAAAACCTTAACTGCCTGGGAATATTTTATGTTAACTAGAAAACATATTTTTAGTCTTTATTTTCCCATAATTTCTGGATGGCTCTGTGAATTATGTGTGCATTAACTTTTTCTGTGGGGGAAGTTGGGGGTTTGCATTCTGAAGTGTTGATAAAGTGTGAAAGGGCCTTTTTTGTCTTATTCCTGAAGTTCCTGTGGGTCTGTGTTGGAACTCTTTAGAAGTTACTGTACTTGTTGCATCAGTGACATCACTTATTTCTGCTCCTGGCACTAATTCCAAGGTGGAAACAGCCCATTTGACCGTTTTGCATAGATCTTTGTGTTTATTTCCACAGGGTGAAGCTTCTGTTCTCCTCTTCGGTGGCTTTTGCAAAGTTTGAGTTGACTCTGGCTCTCTCTCATGATTATCCATCTGCTGCACTTCCCTTCAGGGTCCAAACGCACGTTGGGAATATTGGGTGAGCTGACAAAGCACTGCTGCATGTGACTCCATTCTGAAGTAGGGATGGGGGGATTGAAGCCTCAGGATCCTCTGCAATGTGTGATAATTTTATCTTCCCCAGGGAGAAGGAAATTGCTGCAGTTCTCTCCGGGGTTCCAGCTGGTCACCACTATCTGCAGAGAATAGTCACCTCAATCCATCAGAATCTGCTCCAGGGTCCCAGATGATCTGCTGCATCCACAGGCAGGATTGAAGCAGTCAAAATGGGTAGTCTGTGAGTTTAGTCTTACGAGAATTCCAGCTGTGTCTCCCTGAAATGGGAATGCTGTTACACGCTCAGCTCCAGTATTCCTGCCTATTTAGTATCCTTGTGGCTTAGACCAAGCAGAATGCTTGGTGTAGGCTACAAGTTTTACAAGAGCAGGGGTGTCTAAAGAGAAGGAGGAAATTCCTAGATCCCTTGTAAATTCAAGGTGCCTTTTATCTTCTGTCAGTCACTGGTGGTCATTCCTAGCACAGACAGTCATGATTGGATACTCATTCCAGACATGGATATTCTTCTGTATTTATGGGCTATAGCCCATAAATTTTGTCACTTACAGAGCTCTTTGACAAAGCAATGATGAGTGTTCTCTAAATTATTACAACTGGAATTTACTTTTGCTGTTGTTATTTCACTACCACGTACAGTTTAACAGATGCCACCATGTCCAGTGTTTATCCATTGCCTGGCACCCCTCTCAGGCCAGACACTATATCCCTGCATCTGATTAATTAACCAATTAACCTGTAGCAATTAAACCCAGTCACCAAAGTCAGAAATAATTCTGGAATTAAGGCTAAAAATCCCTGTGCTTGCCCACAGACTTTGGGATGCAGCAGCCTCAAAGCCATCACTGTGATTTTTCTGGCTGAAGTTAGTTCTGACATTCATTGTCTTAGTCCAGCACTTTTTCTGGGTGCTGGGGCACTGTCCCAGTTTGGAATGCCATGGAATTTTAGTGAGGAGACTGAACTCCTTAAACTTGGGAATATATGTGAGCTCTAGCTTGGTTTTGTGTATAATTTTGTGTATTATGTGAGTATTGCTGTTCGAACTGATCTCACCCTGACTGTGTTGCTGAGCCAAAGCACCAACCCTGGCTCAGCTCTCAGTTCTGCAGCTGCAAATCTTTGTGCTCTGTAAAATATGTTGAATTTAAAAATGTTTTTCTGTATTTTAGTGTTTATATATTTTGTCTTTTTACAAAGTTTGCGTCTGTTTGAAAAGTGGAAGTTAAATAAAGATTGGATTTATCACTCTTCCTGTTTCACATGGGGATTATGGGCTGCTCTATTTAAACTGGTGATTGAAAATTCAATACTAAATTCAAAATACTGAAATAATTATGTTAAATACTTGGTAAGACTTTTTGTAATATGATTTTTTCCCTTGCCTTTTCTAGTGCTAGTTTTCTATATACTGGCTTTTCACAAGAATTTATTGTATTTTAATTAGGAAGATAGCACCTGAATCATTCTCAACTTAGGTACTATACCTGGAATTCTGAATTTCCCCAGGCCATTCTCTGCATCACTAACTAGCAGAGATTGCTGTGGCAGTTCTCCAGGAGCATTATCCACCTCTTTTGTCTTTTTTGTCTGGTTTTCTTTTCTTTCAGTGGATTTACACACTAAAGCATCAATAACTATGAAGACTCAAGTGGGTTTTTGGTGGAGTTTAGTATATTGTTCCAAATATTGAATCAATGTGGTGAAGCCACACATTTGTAGTAGGAAAAGGAGCTTGGGCAGAAATTATTCCATTATCCAGCTTTAAAAAAATCACGGAAAACTTCACTTCCATGTGCCAAGAACCAGCGGCTCCAATCTGTGCCCAGCAAGGCCTCAAGGTAAAGGAATTCTGTCAAAGGCCGGGGCTTCCAGTGCGGAATCACAACATCTGCTCCAGATGTGTCGTGACCTCCAGCTGTTTGTTCTTGGGTTTTGGCTGAGGAATTGTTACTGCTCAGGAATTCCGTGGGCTGCTGGATTTATGGGGGCACAGCGTTGTGCTCCAAGAGGGAAAAGAGAAAATAAGAGAAAATACTGGAAAGGAGAGAGAAGCAAAAGGGAAAGAAGGAAAAGCGGCGGTGGAAGGAAGAGAAAAAGAAAGAGGGAAAAGAAGGGCAAAAAGGAAAGGGGAGGGAGAGAGAAGGAAAATAAAAAAGCGGTGGGGAAAGAAAAACAGGAAAAGAAAACAAAAAGGAAGACGAAGGAAAGGGCCGCGGTCGCTGACCCCGCTCCGTGCCCGGCGCCGCTTCCCGCGCTCCCCTTCGGGCGCCGCCGGGGGCGGGGCTGCGCCTGCGCGGGAGCGGGCGCGCGCGGTCACGTGAGGCGGCGGCGGGAGCGCCCGAACGGCCGGAGCGGGGCCGCGGTGAGAGACGGGGACGGGAGCAGGGACGGGGACAGGGACAGGGAGCGGCACCGGGATCGGCTGAGGCGGGCGGGACGGGCCCGGGGCCGCGGGATTCCCTCGGTGCCTCCCCGGTGCGGGGAGCGGCCGCGGGAACTTGAGGGGCGTTGGCGGAGGTGGGGGGTGGGAAGGCCGCCAGCTGTGAGGAGCGTTAAACAAAGGGCTGGAGCTGAGCAAAATGAGGGGACACGGCGTGGGGGATCCAAGGAGCACCTGGGAGGTGCTGCTGGCCGGGCCTCCGGTGAAGTTGGAGTCGTGGAATGCCGCAGTGGCCATGAAGTTCTACCCCTTGCCAGGGACAGGGACACTTTCCACTATCCCATCTTGCTCCAAGCTCCACCCAACCTGGCCTTGGTCACTTCCAGGGATCCAGGGACAGCCACAGCTTCTCTGTGCCAAAGCCTCAGCACCCTCAGAGGGAAGAATTTATTCCTCGTATTCCATGTGAATTTCCCCTCTGTCAGTTTGAGTCCACTCCCCCTTGTCCTGTCATTATAATTTTCAAATTGTGTGTTATATCCCAAGTGTGTGAATTCCCTTGTATCCTTCAGCTCCTGCCTGCCATCCTGCTCAGCAATCCCAGGGATGGTACAGATCCTCTGCAGGGTCTTCCAGCCCTTTCCAAGGTGCTTGTGGTTGTGGCAGTCCTGAGGGCAAACTTTGGGACACAGCCCAGCCCCAACATCATGGTCCAGTTCAGCGGACTTTTCCACCTTTAATAACTCCATGATTCTGATTCATGTGAGCACATAACTTATTGCTGAAAGGGAACACTGAAGTGTTTGGTTCCTTCCAGGGGGTGTCCTGGGCTGTCATAACTTATTGCTGAAAGGGAACACTGAAGTGTTTGGTTCCTTCCAGGGGGTGTCCTGGGCTGTCGCTGCCATGGCCATGCAGATCCAGCTCGAGGCCAGCGCAGACACATCAGCAGAGGAGGAGAGCTTTGGGCCACAGCTCATATCCAGGCTGGAGGTAGGTGAGGAGTTACCTCTGGAGGAAGTTTTCCATAGATGCACTCACTGCTCTTTTTCCTAGAACGGAATCCTGTGGTGGTTTGGGTTGGAAGGAACCTTAAAAGCTCATCTCGTTCCATCCCGTGCCATGGGCAGGGACACCTTTCACTATCCCAGCTTGCTCCAAGCCCCATCCTGGCCTTGAGCATTTCCAGGCTCTCCACCAGGGCCTCACTGCTTCCACAGCGAAGAATTCCTTACTAATATCCGACCTAAACGTTTTTCTTTAAAAGCAAAGTGAAACTGAAAACTCTGTTGCTAAATTCTTACTTGTGTCCTATTAAAAATACCAACCAAACAAAAAACCTAGAAATACCCAAAAATAAAAACACGTCTCCTTTTTTTGTCTCTCCCTCCCTCCCTCCCTCCCTCCCAGCAATGTGGCATAAATGCCAATGATGTGAAGAAGCTGGAAGAAGCTGGATTTCACACAGTGGAGGCTGTGGCTTATGCTCCAAAGAAGGAGCTGCTGAACATTAAAGGCATCAGTGAAGCCAAAGCCGACAAAATCTTGGTAAGGATGTTCTGGAACTTTAACCCAAGATATTCCACAGGTTTATTTCTGCTGGCTGAAAGCACCGTGGTGAATTTGGAAGGTCTCCAAAGGGCAGTAAGGGTGATTAGAGGTGTGACATGACTTGTGATGGGAAAACCAGGGCAGGACTGAACTGAACAGGTCGGGGACAAGGGGAGGATATTTCCTTAAAACACCAAAAAGGGATGTTGGAGCGTTTTCTCAGAGCAGAATTTTAGTTCTGTTCAGAGGTACCAACTAGTGCAAGGTCTATTAAATATGCATGGAATGATACAGGCACCTCTCCACAAGGCAGGAAATATTAATTACTGGGGGATTAATTAATGGCATGAAGTCCCCTGGCGCTGCTCACTTGGGTTTTCCCTCAGGCTGAGGCAGCCAAACTGGTTCCCATGGGCTTCACCACGGCCACAGAATTCCACCAGCGGCGGTCAGAGATCATCCAGATCACCACTGGCTCCAAAGAGCTGGATAAGCTGCTTCAAGGTCAGCATTTTGTTATTTCTCTTTCCTGCTTAACCTCTGTTATTGGGGTGGGGTTTTCCCATGAGTGGGATCCTTGCACAGAACCATGTAAGGCAAGTCCTGGTTGGATGAAAAACCTCTAGGACTGCTCTTGAATAATTGCTTTTATTTTAGAAGCTGCAGAAATAGCTTTTAGTCATGATGCAAGACCCAGAGCTGTCCATTTTTTGATGTTTCTGGTTTATTTAAGTCCCTGATGCGTTTAGGGAAAGCAAAACCATGCATCACCATCTCCCCATTCCTCTGGTAATCCAAAAATGAAAACAAGTAATTTCAGCTCTTCAGCATCTTCAAAAATACCCACGAACTTCTTGATCAGAGCATGAACAAACCTCATGATGACAAGTTTTCCCTCTTAGCTTTGAAACTTGCAGCCAAATTCAGTGTTTAACTGAGTCTCTGTAAATGTAGTATTTTATATGTGAGATAGATCCATACATACATAGATCATACGTGTGGCATGTGACCTTTTAAGTTTTATTAATAATTACTATTCTTATTTTCCCTTCAGGGGGAATAGAAACAGGGTCCATAACAGAATTATTTGGGGAATTCCGTACTGGGAAGACGCAGCTGTGTCACACCCTGGCCGTCACCTGTCAGGTGAGGGATTCACCTCATTACAATCCAATATTCAGACCCCACAGCCTTGGGATATTTGCTAATTTGGGCACTTTCTTTGACTTTCTAAGTATTTATCACTGTCTGGAGGTTGCTGTTCCCTAAAATATTAGAGGCTTGGACTTAATTTGATCATTCCGTTGACTCCCTAAAATTCCCAGCTCGTCTTGTGTAGAGTCATGGAATGCTGGAATGGTTTGGACGGGAAGGGACCATAAAGCCCATCCAGTTCCATGGGCAGGGACACTTTCCACTATCCCAGCTTGCTCCAAGCCCCGTCCAGCCTGGCCTTGGACACTTTCAGGAATTCAGGGGCAGCCACAGCTTCTCTGGGCAATCTGTGCCGGGGCCTCAGCCCCCTCCCAGGGAAGCATTTCTTCCCAATATTCTGTCTATCCCTGCCCTGTGTTAGTGGGAAGCCATTCCCCCTTCTCCTGGCACTCCAGGGTGACAGGTAGCACAAAAGGAAGGTGTCAGCGATGGGGACCAGGGATCTTTCACTTTTCCCAGCTAAATGTGACTTGAATCACAATAACTTGGAATGTTACTTGTTGTGTGAGCCCACTGAGGGCACGTGGCAATATCTGCTGTATTTATGGATGCTTTATTCCCTGTTCATTCCTTCCCTTCTCCTTTAGCTCCCCATAGACCGTGGGGGCGGCGAGGGAAAAGCCATGTACATCGACACGGAGGGGACCTTCCGTCCAGAGCGACTCCTGGCCGTGGCTGAAAGGTCTGTGAGTGGAAGACAGGAATAGATGGACTCACAACTCAGTTGGAAAGCATTTTCCACAGGTCCAGGAGGTTGATTTGGCAGGTGTTCCCTTTGGAAAGCTCTGCTGTCCCTGCCACTCTTTCCCCACAGCTCTCACGTCACTGTCCCTCAGCATGAGGTGATTTCCCTCTCTTTTGCTACTGGAAGGGACTGGGAGCTTCCCAAGCAGCTGGGACAGGACTGGCTGGATCCTGTTTGTTCTTTCTGAAGGGAATTTGATCTAATCCTGCTGGTTTCTCCCGCAGCAAGGACTGCTCCCATGTTCCCTGTCACCAGGGAGTATTTGGCAGCCAAGCTAAGGAGAGGAAGTGAAATGATGTTTGCAGCAGGCACAGGTGTGTCTGTGCTGGCTGTGTACAGTGTCCTTGGAATCATGGAATTGTTCAGGTTGGAGGAGCCCTGGGAGATCCCTGTGTTCCCGGGTGCTGCCAAGGCCAGCTCTGTCCCATGTCCCCAAGTGCCACATCTGCATGGCTTTAAATCCCTCCAGGTTGGGGCCTCCACCACTGCCCTGGGCAGCTATGCCAGGGCTAGACAGCCTTTCCTCTTCCCAATATCCAGCCTAAACCTCCCCTGGGATCACGTGAGGCCATTTCCTCTTATCCATTTCAAATGGTTCCAATTATTCCGTTCTCTTTTCATCACCATGGGTTGTATTTGTTCCATTTGTTTTTATCTCTGCCAGGGATGTGAGTTTTCCTTCCAGTCTTTTGGCAAAGCTCCTGGCTAACTGCTATGGATGAAGCTGTCACTCAAGGTTCATCCCTTTATTTTCCCTGATTTTGCAGGTATGGCCTGTCTGGCAGTGATGTCCTGGACAACGTGGCTTATGCTCGGGGCTTTAACACCGACCACCAGACCCAGCTGCTGTACCAGGCCTCGGCCATGATGGCTGAGTCACGGTAATTACACTGATTTCATGGATTTTCTTTCCACATGGGATTAGCCTTTGGCTCCTCCAGAGAGCCAGCTTGCTCCATGGGCAGTCAGGTGTCAACAGCACATCTTGTTGGAATTCTGGAGCAATTGCCTCCAGCTGATGTGGCTGTACAAACACAGGGAATTCATGGTTCCCCAGTGCCAGTCTGAGGAGCAACTTGGAATCTCAGTGTAGAGCTGTGCTCAGAAACAGTGCTGATGACTTCCAAGCTCCCAGGAGAGCTGTGCAGGCAGCTTGGGATTGGAATTGAGACTTACAGCCCTGCCTGCCTTTCCCAGGTACGCTCTGCTGATTGTGGACAGTGCCACGGCCCTGTACCGCACGGATTACTCGGGAAGGGGGGAGCTCTCGGCCAGGCAGATGCACCTGGCCAGGTTCCTGAGGATGCTGCTGCGCCTGGCAGACGAGGTGAGCATCCCCTGGGCTTTATATTGTGGGTTGATGCTGGCCAAACACCAGGCACCCTTGTCTGCAGCTGGACAGAGGAGAGAAAATGTAACGAAGGGTTTGTGAGTTGAGGTAAGGACTGGGAGAAAACACTCATCAATTACCATCAAGGGAAAAACAGGTTCAACTTAAGACATCTGAGGTGACTTCATTGCTAACAAAATCAGAGCAGAATAATAAGAAGTAAAATAAGCTGTTAAAAACACCTTACCCTCACTTCTCCCTCCTTCCCAGCTCTACCTCCTGTGCCAGTGGTGCAGTGAGATGGGAACGGGGAGTTTGGTCAGTTCATCCACCTAAGGCTTCTCCCACTGCTGAGGGAGAAGAGTCCTTCCCCTGCTGTCTCCCATAGGAAACAGTTCTCCATAAACTTCTCCTGTGTGGCTCCATCTCACAAGCAGCAGCTCCCTATGAACTGTTGCAATGTGAGTCCATCCCACAGGCAACAGTGCCCCTCAAACTGCTGCAGTGTGGGTCATTCTTCACGGGGTCAGTCCTTCAAGGACAGGCTGTTCCAGCCTGGGAGCAGGGCCCCTCTCTCCACTGGATCACAGCCTCCTCCAGGCATCCACCTGCTTCAGAATGGGCACTTCCTCCATGGGCTGTGCATGGATCTCTGCATCCCCCTGGATCGCCACAGGTTGCAGGGAGAATCACCATGGTCCTCACCACACTTTGCACAGGAGTCTCAGCTCTGGTACCTGGAGCACCTCCTCTCCCTCCTTCACTGCCCTTGGTGTCTGCATCTTGTTCTCCTCATATTCTCACTCCAGCTCTTCTCTAGCTGGATTTGAAGCTGCACAAGTTTTGTTTTGATTTCTTTTGAAATCTGTTATCACAGAGGCGTTACCACCATCTCTGATTGGCCCAGCCTTTGCCAGCAGCATATCCCTCTTGGAGCCAGCCTGGGATTGGCTCTGCCGGACATGGTGAAAGCTTCCAGCAGCTTCTCTCAGAAGCCACCTCTGTGCCCCCTTGCTAACAAATCCTGGCCATACATGCCCAATACAATTGCCAAAGTAAAACTCATTGGTTTTCTCCCAAACCCCAAGCATTTGGTCCCAAAGGATTTGTCTCCACCTCTGCTCCCATTGGTTTGGAGAGGCTGGATCCTACAGTTACGGACACCAGGAGTGCCCCGTGTGTCCTTTTCCCTGCTTTTCTGTTCTGATTGTGGGAAATAATTGGGTTTGGGTTGTTTCTCCTGCAGTTTGGCGTGGCTGTTGTCATCACTAACCAGGTGGTGGCACAGGTGGATGGAGCTGCCATGTTTGCTGCAGATCCCAAAAAGCCCATTGGAGGCAATATCATCGCTCATGCTTCCACTACCAGGTGAGACAAGAGATGGTCATATCCCAGGAGCCTGGGCTGGGAATGTTTTGTGGAATTGGCCAAGTAGCTTTTACTTCTGGGGTTTCCACAGTCTGTCCATGGCAGGCCCAGCCTGTGCTTCAGCTCAGCACCACTCTGGGCCCTCAGTCCTCAGGGAAATGAATGTCTCAGGCAGTGTGTACAGCTCTGTTTACTCCTCTATGGATTAGGATGATTTTCTGGGAGCAGGCTGTGCATCCTGACCTGTTTTCTTCCCTCTCCCTGCCAGGCTGTACCTGCGGAAAGGCCGAGGTGAGACCAGGATCTGTAAAATCTATGACTCCCCGTGTCTGCCCGAGGCTGAAGCCATGTTTGCCATCAATGCCGACGGAGTGGGAGATGCTAAAGACTGAGAACTCCTTTTCTTCCCCTGAATCCCAAGACTCTGTGTAAGAGCTCCTTTCCTGGTGGCACCTTAGGGACGCTTCCCAAGGCAGGGGGCAGAGGAAGCTGTGCTGTGTCAGCGTGGGAACGTCGGGACACACCGAGCGCAGCCGGGGCTGTTGGGAAGGGATCTCCCTCTGCTGCAGGCACAGATGAGCTCCCTGTGCTTCCTGGGCAGCATTCCCATGGGACCAGACCCTGTGTGTTTCCCCATCCCACCGTGGACACGGGACAGCAGAACCTTGGTGGCCACAGTTGGGAACGTGGTGAATTGGAAGCAAAGCTGAAGGGTTTGTTCACTAAGAGAAGTGGTGATTTATAAACCAAAGCAGAGTGGCATGCCACACGAGGGATTTGGGATTGGGGATGGTCCCAATCCATAATCTTTGTGTTCACTTTCTTTTGAATGCTGCAGCCTGCAGGGCTGGGGAAGCTGCTCCTTTACATTTCTGTTTAATTTTCTGTATTTTGTTAATTCTCTGTGGATATCTGCTTTTAATAAAAAGCCCCAGAGGATATTGATGATGTCCCAGGTTCCTGGGATTCACAGGTGTGTGTTCAGACCAGAGATTGTTCTGGCTGGCAGGAGCTGCACCAATCCCCCGGGAATCTCAGTCTGGGATTGTCTTTTCTCCCAGTTCTCAGTTTGGGGATGCAGTGCAGCCCTGCCCTGTGGATCTCCTAGAAGAGTTTTGGGGTTAAGAAAATTATTTTCTATTCTGCAATATTTCTCTAGAACTTGATTAAAAAGAATAAAACTGTATCAATGTGGTTTTAATGTGTTCATTTGCATTGGTTAATTAAAGCAAATCATCGAGAAGGGGCTTGAACACCCCTTGGTTGGAGCCGGCAGCTCTTCTTTATTGTCTCTTCATTCTGTGAATTTATTTTAATTATCTCTTACGCAATTACTGCAATTAAGATACACAGTGAGGAGAACACCATTGCTGCCCTGCTGGATTGGGAAATCCAAGTGCAATTCCTTGGAGAGATTGAGGGGATGGGGAGCTGAGCCTCAGGCTGGGTTTTGGGAATTGGGTGAGAAGGGGAGAGATTTCCCAAGACTGGTTAAAGCAAGTTCTGCTGGGTTTGGGTGCCTCCACCCCAAAAAAGGATCCTGGTTAAAGGGGATTTGAGGAAGCAGCAGGATGTGCTTGGGGGGCTGTGCTGGGATCCCCAAATTCCAGCTAGGGATGCTGGGCACTGCTAGACCTTAGGGACACTGCCTGATTCAGAGAGATTTCCCATTATTTTCTCTCATGCTCAACACCTGGCATTTCGTTGGAATCTCACAGGCTGAAAATCCCATGTGAACAGCTGGAATCACAGCTGATCACACAGAAACCAGCCCGGGAGGGTAAATGAGCTGTTCCACAGATTCATTTTTTTCCCAATGCATTTTAATTTAAAGCAGAACATTGCCTGCACCTCCCACCTACCCCAACCCCATATCCTTTAATCTTGGGATTTCTCTATGAGAATTATCTGTCTGTGCTAGATAAAAAACTCCAAAAAAGATTCCTGTGGTGTTGCAGGGAGTTTGGAGGATTCTGGGGCATCCAAACCTGCCAGGTCAGACATCATGCTCTCCTTCTCCCCTGCCACTTACCCTGTGGCTTGCACTCTCCAATGGAAAAACCTCTGGTTTAAACAGCCAGTGAAACTGTTTATCCTTTATTTCCAGAGCACAGGATATTCTGAGATGGAAAGAGCCACAAGAATCATCAAGTCAAATGATGATAAGGCATTGGCCCATCTGGGCATTGTCCTGGTCAGAGTGTAAGACCTTAAACTGCACATTGATCTGGGGGGCTGTGACTGGGATTCCAGCAGGGAATTCATGGTTTCACAAATAAAGACTGTTCCAGGGAGCAGCACTGACAAGGTTGGAAGCTGCTGTTTACCACACGGTGTCAGCAAAAGAGAAAAAACACAAAATGTGTATCCAAAAACAAGGATAAAATGACTCATCCTGCTTCTAGTGGGACCAGGGCTAATTCTGCCCTGGAACAAAAAATAATTTCTCCCTCAGACCCCCAGAGAGCCCTCGAAAAGCCGAAGTGCAGCAGTGAAGGAAGGAAGGGCACCTCTGCCTCACCTGCTGGGAACAGCACAGGTCCTGCTGCTCCTGGGGACTGGGAATGAGTCCGGAGCCAAAAGCACCTTCCCAGGCTGGAGGGGCTTTCCTAAAACAACACCTCTGGGAAGCAAAGGCCTATGGAAGACACGGAGTAGGAATTTACAATAATAATAATAATAATGATAATAATAACAACAATAATAGTAACAATAACAATATTTGGGAACAGCAGCAAAGGGACCAACAATAAATCCAAGAGAGCAGTAGGGATGCTGAGCTTTAAATGAGGTTTGACTAAGGCAGCATCTCCTGGGATCTCTGAAGCACAGCTCCAGGTCTGGGATTCCAGGAGCAGTGCAAACTCCCACTGTCCAATCCCTGGATTTGCTTCCTGCCAGCACTTGGCACTTTGGGCATTAAACCCCTTCCCACAGGGCTGGATCTGAGCTCTGGCTGGGGAAAGCATTTGGCACCTCTGGCATTTCAATGAAATGAGTTTCCATCATTTTGAAGATACACTGAATAAACCCAGGGCACATAAATAAACCCTTCTCCATAAGGACAGCCCCAGGGAATACACAATCATTCCTATGCCTGGTCAAACAAAGCAACAGCCGGTTTTTGGGGAGAGACTCTAGACTCTTGTCTCCCTCCTTGGCTGTAAAACACCTGCAGAGGCTTTGGAGTTCATACAGGCTTGTCAGAACTTGGGTATTTAATTTAAATTCCATTCATATACTAAGAATTGGAAGTGTCCTAAAAGCACCTCCACTCATACCTTAATTTTGAGCCTCTACCACCGAAGAATTTGCATGTTCTCCTGTTAGGAACACCCCACCTCTGCTTCTTTAGGCATCTTCATGTGGGAGATAAAATAAACGTGGACAAAAGTTTGGAATGCAGCTTCCAAGTCAAGTTCTCTGCTAGGAAACGACTCCGGCTCTAGGAAGCTCCTGTGCCACAGATCAATCAGAGGAACACCTTGGAAAGAAATGCACACTCCGTAGCAGCCAAAGCAATCCCATTTCTGATTTTACCTGATCTCCAGGTGCTCTGCCAGAGCTCCCAACAGCCTTTCCCATTCCCAGACAAGCCCGGGCAGCACTATGAAGGTACTGAGGCCGAGGAGTCAGTTTTTGATGCAGAATCGGAAAGCAAGAGTTTGGATGGGCTTTGCGGTCCCTTGTGAACCAAATTCCATTCTAGAAACATCCTGCCGCTAATCCAGGAGGCCTCGGCATTCCCGGGGGACGGGGCCTGCAGTGCCGGGCGCTCCCACAGGGCGGCAGCACTGAGACACAAAGGGGAAGGGGAGGGGCGGGCACCAGCGGACTGCGCATGCGCATTGTCCCGGGTGTCATTCTGCTCACCGCGCACGCGCAATCCGCCGTGGTGCGGTACCGAGCGCCGCCCGCAGAGGGCGCCACGTGCGCGCCGCCGCCCGCGCTGCGCCCGGGGAGGAGCCCCTGGAAAAGGGAATATCGGGGGCATAAAGGAGGGAAATAACGCACCAGGATAGAGAATAAATCCATTGCAACGCTTCTTCTTAGTGCTCCTCCAACCTTTCGTACATGGAGCTCCACGGTTTTCCCAGTAGCTGCTGGAAAAATGAAAATATTCCTTGTCTCCTATGTGCTCCCCAGCCTGAGCGCTTGAGGAATAAACACCTGCTCCCCATGTCCCAGGAAGAGCTTTGCTAGGGGAAAGCACTAAGAATAAGAGCTGGTGACAATAATAATTGCCTCACCTCGCTGTGCTCTAGATGCGATTCTTCTTTTGGAGATGAAAGATAAATTCAGGCTCTGTCTTGCCGCGCACCAGGGAGAGATCAACAGTTCCTAAACTCCCACCCTGTGACAGATAGAATAAATAAACATTGATTTTTGTCCTGGATAACATTAATCATGGCTTGACAGAGTTACACCAGAGAGTAAACCAAGGGTAGGCACCGCAGGCAAATGGATCCAAACCTAAAAATCATCATTATTGGATAAACCTTGGCTGAAGGGCTGAGTTTCATCCCCAGAACCTGACATCCCATTTCAGATGTCCCAGAAGCAATGTGTCTGCTCTCCTGCTGCTCTAATGAGGATTTAGAGCTGCTTTTCATCACCCGCGAGGAGATGCCGGAGGCGAGGCGGCGCAGGGACACCGGGATGGTGCTGGAGATGTTACAGATAATGAAAATTAATGAAATTTAATGAAAAAAGTAGTTTGGGGGTTGAGTCTTCCCTGGGGACACCATCCACCTGCCTGCACCTGGAAATCTGCCCCTGTCAGAGAATTGACCCCGATTTCTTGATTAATTCACGTTCAGCCTCGCTTTTTCTCACTCAGCAAACCATCTTTGCTTGGTGTGAAGGATCCAAGACGTAGAATGGAAATTAATTCAGTTTAAAAGCAGGGATCAGGTTTCATCCCTGCTGAGAGGCAGGTGCTTGGTCTGCGCTCTGTGTGGAATACTCATCCTTGTCCTCCCGGGGTAAGGATCTCCATTGTGGCACCTGCTTTCCTACTCAAATTCCATAAAATCCTTCTGCAAGGCAGTAGGGGATGTTCCAACAGGCTGTCCTAGGATTCACCAAGATTTTGGCTCCTCTTTCCTCCGAGGTGCAGCTGAAGCAACTTTCCATATCCTGTGATATCCCAGGTAGGATTGGATGGATCAACACGTTCCAGGTAGCCCAGAAGAGGATGTGCCATGTCCCAGTGAGACCCACACACAGTCACACACAGTCCTGGAATGCTTTGGGAACTGGTGGCTTTGGAAGCAGCTCTTAAGAGGAAACCTGCACTGATAAATAAATACAATAAGTTAACAATAAGTTAAATAAATTCAACCCGTTTCAGCAAGTTAAATGGAAACTTGAGGATTGATTTCCTACTTCTATATACATAGATAACATATATAAAATTCTTATATTATTTTATCTATTAATAAACTTATATAAAAATAATTTCAATGTATTCATTTCTTTTAGTATATAAAGAAAATTGTTAGATATAATTTCTTAATATATATACACACCTTTTTAATATATTTATAATATATACATTAATATATATAAAGCATTTTTTCTTATAAATACATTGTTATATATCTACAATTTTATCTCTTGGAATATGTAACTGATCTACTGGCATCACAGAGAATTAAAAAGAATTGATTTAGGAAATCAAGATTAAGGAGTTGGGAGACAGCCCAGGATTTGGAAAAGTGTTCCAACTGCAAACTGGGATAAAGGGAAAACTCTTCAGGAACTCTCCTGCTGCAATTTTTTTTACACTTCCTAGTGATGATTATAGCCTGAATTTATGCCCTTGAGGCTCAAATTGACTTTTCAGCCTGTGCCTGGAGTGTGCCTGCTCTGAATAAATCCTGCATTTCCCACGTGACTGTGTCACTCTGCCACCCTTCACCACCAGGCAGCAAGTGGAGAAATCCATGCCATTTTTCCATCAAAAAAATGTTTTAAATAGATCAGATGAGTCAAAGCCCCCAAACACGTTGTCTCCATCAGGGGAACCTGTGGTGACTCATTCAAAGCCTCCAAGGAGAGACGATGAGTCCTGGGCTGGGATGACTCAAGTCCTGAAACCTGGAAGCAGGAATAATCAGAAAACTGATTACAGCTGGGGTGGAAAAAATCAGCCTTGCCTGGGTGGAAAGAGCCACAATGGAGAGGAGCTGGTGCAGGAGGTTTGGAGGCATCAAACGAGCCAGGTGTGTCTGAATA